GAATGCCAATGGCTGAGTTTACCACAATGCAGCAATCAAAGGCAACTAGGACTACTATCATCATCATCATCAGCAGCAGCAGCACCTGGCGCCTCACTTGAGCTCGAAGAACCACTGCTAGTAACACATGCTCCTCGCTTCTTGCGCTCCTCTTCATATTCAGGATCATCTGTGGGCAATTCAAACCTACAGACGGGACAAGAATTCCTCGAACCCAACCACTGAACTATACAATCATCATGGTAACCGTGCCCACAGGGCAAATTCTTTGCCATTTCACCCACATTCACTACATCTTTACAAATGGCACATGCCATTACCTCCTGCTCTTCCTTGATCACCAATGTATTGAGACCCTCAATTGCACTCTTGGAAGCTGGTGGAGCTCCTCGTCTTCCGCTACCATCACTCTCGGCTAGGGTTTGCAGTAAAGCTTCATAACCCGCTGCGTCCACATAGTCTCCAGGGTTCCCGATGTAGCCATCGCCATCAGGAACTTGAAATCGGAGCTCAATAGAGTGGTCTTCCAGTCCCATCAGAATCTCTGCCCAATCCAGAATCCGGTTTCGCCGATTGGCAGCTCTGGCGGCGAAGTCACGTAGCCGGAGACGTAGCACATCCCTCCTCCTTCTCCGAAGGTCCTCTTCATCATCATCCCGATTCTCAACTTCTTCATCCTCATCAACATCATCATCATCATCATCGTCGTCGTCATCCTCAGATTGGCTTCGATTCCCGCGATTTTCTCCGTCATCGCCAATTCTGACCCCGATTTCATTATCCTCCTCCTCGTTATCATCATCCTCGTCGTCGTCGTTTCCCCAACCGTCCAGCTCGACACGGAGGAAATCGTCATCGGTAGGATCAGCGTGCTCAGAAGGCGGGGGAGGGGGCGCGTCGTTGTCACGCGCCGCCTCAGCTATGAGGCGAAGAACCTGGATGAACTGATTGCCGAAAGCAGGGTCATCGATCTGATCAGTAGACGCCGTCACCGGAGAGACAGAAACAACACGAGAGGGTATGGACTCGACGAAGCCACTCTTACAGTTGCTGCAAATGACATCGGCGGGGAGATCGGGTAGGGTTTCGACGGCAACCCGTGTCTCACACTGGTAGCACCAGTAATCAGGATCCGACCCGGTTGGTGCAGGGACTGAAGGGGTCTCGGCCATTGTTGGAGACTTTTGGTGGGGGAAACAAAAAGCAGAAAAGAGGACTAATAAGTACTCTTATTTCATTTGCTATTCTAAATACCAATATCCACCAAAATTTAGTGATACTATTTTAGTATAAAGTAGGTATTTCAAGACTGAATCGAAATTGATAATTTGAATCCAAGAAAAGCTATTGAGTTATTGATAATGAATTATTAGTTTAGCAATTTTGAAAATGATTTTGATTTTTTCTATTATTAAATTATCAATTTTTTAACGGTCTAATTCATAACATGATAGAAAGTTAATAAATTATTTATACCGTTCAGTATATAAAGTCTTGACTTAAGGTTTAGTTTCATGCTATTTCTAGTTATCTCAAACTTTTATTTATTCTATAATGTGTCAGTGTTGCTCTTGAACAAGATGCAATCTGTCAATTCGTGTGCATGATTCATTTGGTTGTCATTTTGTTTCTGAGAGATTTTCAATATTTTTTTTATGTCAAATTTTAGTGGTTAAATCGATAATCGTATTGATAATAATCAATAACCGATAAATTGACAAGTAAATATCTTAATGGTCCTATAACGATGTAGCATGTCTTTAAATCAATAACCAATACTTCGTACCAATAATCACCGAACCGATTGATACACAACTCTAATGTAAAGTGTAAACCAACTTTAACTCATTACACTAAATATTTTATTAAAAAGAATATTCTTTTTTTATATTTTTTTCTTTTTTATATTATATTATTATTTTTATTATATTTATATTTTCTTATTTCATAAAGCAAATCATTTCTTCCTTTTTTTTCACATATTCACCCGATATAATTCATATTCTTTTTTTTTATATAATTATTTAATATAAAATAATTTTATATAATAATTTGTTAAATAATATAAATTGCTAACAAATATTATACCTTACATATATGAAAGGATAATACAAATAAAGTGAATTTAATGATGAAATACAATATATTATTGATGAATGTTTATTATTTATAGTTATTTAAAATGTATTTCGTTATTTAATAACAATATATTATATTTGCGGTTTACATTTTTGTCATGGTATAAAAATAGTGTAAAATGAATTTTGGTTATTTAAAATGCATTACTCACACATGAAAATAGTGTAAGAAATAATATTGAGTTTTAGAATCCAAAAACACTAAATTTTACTTCAAATTCAAAATAAGATTTGATATAAGAAATAGTATTGGATTGGAGTTTATCTAAAAGTTATTCTTGTTGTTATTATTGGTCTGACCAATTTGTTGCAGTATATAGTACTCCCTCTGTCCACAATTGTTTGTCAGGGTAAGGTCATGCACATCCCTTAAGGAAAATTTAATACAAGGTGTAATTTGACTAATATAACCCTCCTATATCAAGAATACCAAAAGTCCACATAACTTTTCAATTGAACTACACAATCATTAAGGGCAGAATTGGAAAAAAGTGACTAATTATTTCTTAATTGTTTAAATTGACAATTAATCTTGGACATCTATTTTTAGTATACCTGCCAAACAATTGTGGAC